TCATAAAACACACAAATGAACAAGAAGAAAAATTCGCTAAAATCGATTTCATTGTTGACAATATGTTGACGGCAGAAACAGAACGGGTAACAATGACAGTAGGCGATACGTCTTCGGAATCTGACTTATCTGATGATTAATATTAATTATTTATTTTATTTTTATTTTTTATTTTCTATTTTTTTGTAATTCTAATTAATTTGACAATGTACAAGAATACAAAGAAAATTGTGTCCTATTAAATGTTGTTATTTATAATCTAACCTATCCTATTTATGCAAAAAATTTAAATATTATTTTTATTATTATATTACTATTATATTATATCAAGGTGCATAATTAATAAAACGTAGGTACACAGATATAAAGGAAAAAATGGTGGTAGGATCGGTAAAAACGTTTTTAATATTATATTGTGTTCAATACCTATGTTAAGAAAAAAAAACGAAAAGTATGTGTATTATTTTACTGCATAATACGCGTGAAACGCATTATTACTTCAGTTCCCTGTATTCACGGCGGCGTCGTCGGCGGCGGCAACATCGTCGACGGCGGCGAATCCGACCGACGATCGGCGACCAATCACAGAGCGAATAGACCCGGCCAGGGGGTCCGGACGTCGCTCCGCGATTCATTTGGATGCGCCAACGCGGTGCGTTCTTATATGATACAGAGTATAGAACGTTATTTTTATAATTATTAATTTTATAAAATATTAAAATGTATGCAATTTAATATTATCATGTAAAGTAAAATATTTATTAAAAAATAAATTGTTGAGTATAAACTCAAAATTCTTAACCAAATTCTGGAATTTAGAAGTTGGAACTTGTTAACACATGAGGTTCCTCATAAGTAGGGCATAGGTTTGAATGCTGATATCAAAAAATCAACATCAAATATATTCCCTTTCGAAAAATGCATTTATGAAAAAAAAATCTAAAAAATATTCTTTTAAAAAATCCTTTTAACATTATACCCCCCCCCCACCAATTTTATTTTATTTTTTATAATTTTCGAAGAAGTGTTAGCGAAATACCTACTGAAACTGTTCAATCAACAATTTCACCCCGGCGTCCTGTCCATTTTTTTCAAGTTTTAAATACTTTCTTAATATTTAATGGAGTTCTAAATTTTGATTAGTCTATCTGCATTTATAAATAATTACCACAGAATAAACAGAAGGGAATCGAAATACATTTTACATGGGTTCTTATGGGAGATGATAAGAACACGTCCGACATATTGGAAATTCTCCAGGGTAGCCGTATGTCGGGATATTCTTATTTGATCATCATTTATGGCAGCACTGCTTATTTTATAAAAATTAAAAGTTGCGGGTTTTATTTTTCATTCATCATATTATATTTATATAAATGCACAGAATACTACATTTGTGATTTTTATTTTTATATATCTGATGATACAACTACAATCACGGACTAAGATATACAGGACTGGACACGACAAGGTTGGAGGGTGTGGGGGGGTTGACTACGAAATGTTTTACAACAGGCAGTGTTCGGGGGGATATTTTCCTTTTAGCATTACTAGCGCCGTCTTAGTGGATACTTTTGGAACTAGATGACAATAATGTGATCTAGTTCCATAAGTATCCACTAAGACGGCGCTAGTAATGCTAAAAGGAAAATATCCCCCCGAACTCCGCCTGTTGTAAAACATTTCGTAACCACAATATTCATCTCGTGTCCAGTCCTGTATATCTTAGTCCGTGACTACAATATACAAATTATAATAAGATTATATTATAATAGGTATATTTCTGGCACAAGTTGCTATGTCATCCAATTACACCAAAAGTATGCCATATGACATAGTATAAACATGACATTTTTCATCAGTGGCGCTGAACCTTTTTTAAACCATTGGGGTAAACCCTATTTGTGGATACCCCCTACCCTCACACCTGAGTCAAATTAAGACTCTCCCCCGGACAAGTTACCCGGTATTGTCCCAGGGCCAGCCTCTTTTCACGAAACATGTTTTTTTATATGGGTACTTATGATCAAAATTTTTTTCAAAATATAAAATTATTAGGTATACCTACTATTAAAATATTTATATTAGGTATGTAAGATAAATTAATATGTTATAGGTATAATATATAAATATTTGTGATTTCAAGTCCTTAATGTGTAAGCTTAGTTAAATTCATTGTATTAATATTTTAATTTTTTTCAAATAGTGTGAGTTTAAATGGAACATAAAGTGTGATGAATCGAATAATGTATCAACGCACAAAAAAAAACAACCATGCCAATTACCAAATTACCAAAACATGCCTAATATTTCAGATAAAATATAAATGTATAGTAATAAAATAAAAAGGTTGTTACCAGGGGTTGAACAGGATAGAGGGGCATTAATTGAGCTCATACTAATATCATTATCCATCTGAATACTTTGGTTTGACTGATTACATTCAGATTCAACCAAAGAATTATTTGCAGACTGCAAAGCGTCCATTGATACAGGTTTCATGAGAAATAATGTCGGGATTGCTGTCGATTTAAGCTTTTTTCTTGATTCAAACATATGGTTTTCAAAATGTAATGAGCATAGCTTATAAGTTTTATGCAACACATCAAAGTCTATGGTTAGTAAATATCTTGCTTCACATTTTAAAACCCAAGAGGCACACCTATAAAATAACACAGTGTACTATAGGACTCAAATTTAATACCTGGATCATTTGTGAATATTTATGTTTATATTTATGCACTTACCTTGAATGATCTTTAGGAAATTTGAAAAATGATATGTCATTACGTCCTTTTGACCAAATACTGGTGCAGTATGCCAAAGAGCATCTGCAGCCAGAACTCGTAAACAAATTAAACATACTAGACAATTGAAGCGCAAACAACTTTAAAAATGGTATAAATTAAAATTAAAATTTGAATTTGGCGAATGAAAACTAAAACTCGGAAACGCAAAAAACATGTGGACCGTCGTGGTATACCGCTTGAATTTTAAAACATGAAAGTAAATAATGATTATTGTAATCTTGTGATTGTCTGAATTCATCAGTATGGCCATGAACCACATAACAATAAAAAAAATAAGAAATATCTAATTTATGGCAGCACTGTAGAATTTCAATATGTCGGACCGTTTTAAGATTATGCTTTCGATTCCCTTCTGTTTATTCTGTGTAATTACTATATCAACTATTATACTGGCTACTGCACTTTATGCAGTGCTGCAAATCTGCAATACATGTTTTGTAATAAACATTATATTGAAAATAAAAATTACTAAAAAATGAAAATCACTATTTACTAATTAGTAGTTATATATAGTAATATAGACATAACATCGGATACAGAATGCAGTGAATTTGCAGAGTAAGTATAACTGTATAAGTATAAGTTAAATTAGTCTATAATAGGTAATAAATATTCCTATATTTTCTATATTATTTCTTTATTTTATAAATTATTTTCCATGTGCTGCGTACTTATCTGACTTATTATTATAGAAGAAGTTTAAACGTATTAACAATAAGTATAGATTCAATAAACAACCAAGAATCGTGTTCTTTAAATCGGTGAGTTTATAGTGAATGATACAATAATTATTATGGTATTTGTGGTCTTAGTATGATTAACATTGTTTAACAATTGTAATAATAAATAAATATACGAATATACTTACATATCATTATCTTATACTATACTAACAGAGATGATCTCAACCTGCCTTGCAGTATTGATACTACACCTACAGAAGATAGTTTATCGTCTGTATTTACAAAAAAATGAAAAATAAATAAATGTGGACATAATAATAAAATATATTATATTAATATACCTAATATTGTAGAGAAATTTCTGACCATAACTTGAGTGTCATTTATACTGAATCTGAAGATGGTGTATCATCTGAAAATACTACAACTACTGAGTAAGCGTACAAACAAACAAAAATGTTTTGAATTACGATCGACTTTTTATAATTTATTAAAGTAACATTTTTATAGAACTTCATATTAAATTTTCAAATCGTAGATATAAATATTAAAAATCTTATGAATTTTTAAGAGGACGCTATACCCGCATGTGTTGTCTCCGTCTTACAAATGTACAACATATCAAAAACTATTTTGCGCGGGAAAGAACCGAGAAGGCTACAGTCATAACTAAGAAACGACATTTTCACCACATAAAAAGGAGAACTATGGCTGTGCAAAGTTGTTTTTATTTTTTTGATATCACTTATATGAAAAAAGTTCTTACTGTTTAAAAAACCGTTATTGTTTGTGTTTTTCAAACTTGAAAAACTTTTTTCATATAAATGATATCAAAAAAATAAAAACAACGTTGCACAGCCAAAGTTCTTCTTTTTATGTGGTGAAAATATCGTTTCTTAGTTATGATTGTAGCCTTCTCGGTTCTTTCCCGCGCAAAATAGTTTTTGATATGTTGTACATTTGTAAGACGGAGACAACACATGCGGGCGTCCTCTTAACTACAAAATAATTTGCACATTTTCGTAGTTTTCTACATTTTTGAAAGACTTTATGAACGTGGAATCTTGTATTCAATTTTCAAGTATTTTGATGAATAGAACTTTTTTTATCTTTATTTATATTAGAATATTAATATCAATAGATATTAAAAAATAAAACAAAAAAAAAAATTGAAAGTTATGGGAAAATTATTTTGTAGTTAAAAATTCTTAAAATGTTTAATATTCATATCCAAGACAGTTGTAATACAATTCGAAAATGTAATACTATACTCTGTTCAAAATAAGATCGTGACCCGGCGGCCGAGTTGTGCGCATGGGCGTGGCTTTTTTCCGTGGCTGCGCTCGACGCGTCGCTGTAGTGGGGACGGCATCTGGCCATATGTCTGACCGCCGCCCGACGAAAACTGGTCGCCGCCGGGTCACGATCTTATTTTGAACAGAGTATAAGTTCCTCATCATTAGTATATTAGGTTAAAAAATTGTATATCTACCTACTGTATCTGAAAATGATAATATGTATTTCTTTACACATTTATAGTGTTCTGTTTGGTCGTCGAATTGTGGATATAAAGTTTATATTTGATCAAATATTGGCCAGTAACAACAAAAATCATATAAAAGGATTTGATTGTTCTTTTATTAACTCTGAATTGATTAAAGAAACACGTAAAGGATTTCATTGCTCATGGTTTTTTAAATGTAAAATGTGTAACATAGAAACAATAATTCAATCAGATATCGACGACAAAAACAAAATACCAATTAATAAAGCAGTGGCAAATGCATCTATTGCAGTTGGAATTGGCTATAGCCAAGTCAATGAGTTTTCGGCTTCTATCCGTAGTCACAATTTTTTTTTATAAGTAATTAAAGTTTAAATTTTGACAAAATACGTTAGAAATTTATAAAAATTTTCTTATACAATGAAATTATATCATTGAATTCAAATTTAATACCATCCATTACAGTGACTACTAAATATAGACATTTCAAAATGACGGGTTAGGTATATAACAAAGAGATACCTATAAAAAACAGGTTCTAATATGTGCATATTTATTATATTTTTAGGCAACAATTATTGGATTCCATAAAAAAAAAATTGAGTAACCTGATAGAACTCGGAACGTACGACGTGATCGCATCCGAGGGTCGTCGTGATAACTCTCACCGTTACCGAGTAATTGCAAACGAAAAAAAAGCGATCGAAAAAGTTGAATACGAAATCGTGTGAGCGGACGGCGCCGTGCCTGCCGGCATGTACACCGCCCCGGTACCGCCGATCAACAGTGAACGTCGAGTGAAAAAAAAAATCGGATTTTCGCACACGACGATCCAGCCAACCGCCGGTCGCGGGACGTACGGTAACTATTACGGCCCGACCGGGAAGCCGGTGGACCGACACCCCACGACCGTAGAATCGCCTATCACCGTGCGTAGCGGTACGGCCTCGAATATCGAATAATCCGGTTAATCGTTACGGACGCCGGTACCTGATAGAACTCGGAACGTACGCCGTGATCGCATCCGGGGGTCGTCGTGATAAGTCTAACCGTTACCGAGTAATTGCAAACGAAAAAAAAGCGATCGAAAAAGTTGAATACGAAATCGTGTCGGCGGACGTCGCCGGGCCTGCCGGAATGTACACCGCCCCGGTACCGCCGATCAACAGTGAACGTCGAGTGAAAAAAAAAATCGGATTTTCAGCTCGGCTGTGGTTTCGCTAGATACCCGACCCGGGTGGCCCCCGGCCTGAGTGCCTACGACTCCCACGTCTGGGGCGCCCGTCCGACGCCGACTAGGAAAAAATTATCCCCGGGTACGGACCGTGACATTGAGGCGACGTCGTCTAACCGGACGTCCATCTTCGTCGTCGTCATCGTCGTCTGAAATACGCAAAGGGCTGGCGTCTGCGGACAAAAGCAAATTACACGATTACTATCTGCAAAAAAAACACGAGTTCGAAATCAATACTCACATCTCTGAATACTCGACGCGTCCGAATCGCTACCACTGGTTACAACTATGGCATTGGCACCGCGAAGTCGGAACTTTAACTTTTTGACTGATTTTCTTTGCTTATCCACTTTTAACTTATTCGGCAGCAGAGACGGCGACGGCGACCAATTTTGTCTTGACGTGCCCGGGATAAGTTTCCAGTTTTCTGTATCTGAAATGGTAACGTTAAATAAAAATCGGAAACTCGTTAGGTGATTATAAACGGTCACCTTCAGGAGGAGTGGGCGATGGCGTATAGACTCTGTCCACCTCGAGTGGCCGTTTGATAGCTGTAAATTAATACGTTATTATAAATTGTACAAAAAAAATAGTGAAGATAATAACACTCACGTCCGTTTACTGACGACGACGACGGGACCCACTTCAATTGTTCCAACTCTGAAACGGTAACGTTAAATAAATATCGTAAACTCATAAGGTGAGTATATACAGTACATACCCGGTTCTTCGTCGTCGTAGGTGTATGGGTCGGCTAAATCATCTGTAAATTAATAAGATTATAAAATGTATAAAAATTCTTGAAAATAACACTTACGGTTTTCGACAACATCAGGGTCAGACAGTATGTGGCTGTTGACGGCTGGTGGATGGTGACTGTCTGTGTCAACCAGAGCGACATCATCTGTAAATTAATAAGATTATAAAATGTATAAAAATTCTTGAAAATAACACTTACGGTTTTCGACAACATCAGGGTCAGACAGTATGTGGCTGTTGACGGCTGGTGGATGGTGACTGTCTGTGTCAACCAGAGCGACATCATCTGTAAATTAATAAGATTATAAAATGTATAAAAATTCTTGAAAATAACACTTACGGTTTTCGACAACATCAGGGTCAGACAGTATGTGGCTGTTGAAGGCTGGTGGATGGTGACAGTCTGTGTCAACCAGAGCGACATCATCTGTAAATTAATAAGATTATAAAATGTATAAAAATTCTTGAAAATAACACTTACGGTTTTCTACAACATCAGGGTCAGACAGTATTTGGCTGTTTTGAGCCATATCGACATTAGACCGGTTTGCCGGTTTTTTGCCTGTAAAATATTGCATTACACATTATACATTATTACTCAGGCGAGGCCAAAAATTAAATTTAAAAATCATTATACCTTTAATGGGCCTGTTTTTATAGTAGGCCGAGCGCTCGTGGACCTCCACCAACCGCTTGACAAATACCGGCTTGGATTTGCGGCTTTTGAACACAACTAAAAAAATCAAAATCAATAAGCGATTATAGTTTATGAATGAAAGAATTATTTATTTTTAAATAATTTGATGATATTACCTTTTTTCCCAAGAATTCGGTCCGTCGCCTCTGGCACCGAAGTCTCCAAAACCACATTTTTGTTTTTCATGGACGACGGTGGTGGAAGAGACGCTAACATTTTAACAAAAATAATTCAATAATTTATACGGAAGAAAAAAAAAATAACTGTTACCTTTTTCCTCTGGCACCAAAGTCTCCGAAACCACAATTTTGTTTTTCATGGACGACGGTGGTGGAAGAGACGCTAACATTTTAACAAAAATAATTCAATAATTTATACGGAAGAAAAAAAAAATAACTGTTATCATTTTTCTCTGGCACCAAAGTCTCCGAAACCACAATTTTGTTTTTCATGGACGACGGTGGTGGAAGAGACGCTAACATTTTAACAAAAATAATTCAATAATTTATACGGAAGAAAATAAAATTTAATGTTACCTTTGATTCTATCATAATTTTTGAGTGCCTTTTTTATAGTTGTTCTCGGCACGTTGCACTCTCGTGAAGCTAAGTTCACCTTGTACCCATGTATTCGTACAAGAACTATCGCCCTGGATAAAGCATGGTTGTCTTGCAATTTTACGTACCCTCTAGCTGCCTATAAATTTATGGAAACACAAGTATAAACCCGTGTATTGCAAAAGAGACAAAAACTTACTTTTTTCGGGACAATTTTCAATTTACGGACGAGCTCTCGAAGTGTCGTCTCCGGTACTCCATGATTTCTCGCGGCCTGACCGATGGAGTGAGTACCGTTTGAAATCGAATTAAGTGCATCGGTAACATTGGCTCTGTTCATGATCTATAATGCCAAGTAAAAACATACGCTAAATTGTGGGAACAAGAAAAAGAACGCGGAAACAAAGTGCCAGAGAGCGCAAACCCATATATATAAACAGAGGCTGGGATTGAAATTTCTCACCGGGGAGACGGGCAACGATCAAGGGGCATTCGCATATTAAATTATTGCGATGTGCAAGGGAGAGATGTTCGGTAACGAAAAATTATATTTGACAAATTATAGGGACAGTGTACTCGAATATACCGCGACACTAGCGCCGCGACGGCGGGTCGGGTTGCAAAATTTTCGAATATTGATCGAAATCAACTCCGAGACACTAGCGCCGCGACGGCGGGTCGGGTAGCAAAATTTTCGAATATTGATCGAAATAAACTCCGAGACACTAGCGCTACGACGGCGGGTCGGGTAGCAAAATTTTCGAAATTCGTTCGCGATACTAGCGCTGCGATCGACGACGGCGGGTCCTGTAGCAAAACCTTCGAAATTCGTTCGCAATACTAGCGCTGCGATCGACGACGGCGGGTCGAGTGGTAACATTTTCGATTTTCGATTGCTCGAATTTGTCCCCGTCCTGAAGTCGTGAAGTCAGGGAGAATTTAAAATGACCGACTCACGGTTACAATATTCGGGACTTTCGAAGATTGAATTAGGATTTTCATTTTTTTTTTGTCCCTCTCATGAGGTCTCTGTAGAAATATTTCGAGACGGTTGCAGGTGGTCGATGAAAATGTAAAAATTCGAAGACCTACTCACGGGGACAAAATTAGGGAATTTCGTGGGTTGAAGCGGAGTATTCATTTTTTTTCAACGCGGTCTTCGGGGTTGACATTGTCCCTCTTATGCGGTCTCTGAAGGAAAATTTCGAGACGGTAGCAGGCCGTTGGTGAAAATATCAAAATTCGAAGATCGACTCACGGGGACAATATTCGGGAATTTCGTGGGTTGAAGCGGGGTATTCATTTTTTTTCCACGCCGTCTTCATGGTTGACATTGTCCCTCACTAGAGGTCTCAATACGAAAAAATCGAGATTGACGTTCGATAAAAATATAAAAATTCGAAGACCGACTCACGGAGACAATATTTGGGAATTTCGAGGATTGAAGCGGGGTATTCATTAAATTCGATAAATTAAAATTATTATTACATAGGTATTGATTATAATTAATAATATTTTTTTAATATTTCTTGTAGTTCAAGACAATGTACTTTCAAAAGCACATGGTACAGCTGAACTTTGCCTATTTATGGACATGGTGTTTGACTCGGTGAATGGCAGTTCTATAAAATCTAAACATGGGAAACCTTTGAGAGCTGCAGTAACAAATAAGTCCCCACATCTTGCATTTTGGACTTCAGCGATTAAAGTATTTGAGTCAATGTATTTCCTAAATAGAGTTACCGGACAAAAGAGTATTCCACCTTGTGTTAATAATTGGATACAAACATTGCGCGGCTTTATTTACTATCTGACTTGGCTAGTTTCTATATACGAATTATGTTATAGCTTTCGCAAGTTCTAAAAAGTTAGGAGTTCTTTTTTATTTTTCTAAAAATTTGGCTTGCTATTAGAAACTAGCTATTGAACATAGTGCTCTTTCATGACTGTTTTAGTAGGTGCTTGATGATAATTCGTAAAATATGAAAACTAGCCAAGTCAATACCTTAGGCTTCAAAACATTATCCTAAGTGATAAGAAGAAATTATATTTCATGTTGTTATAAATAAATTTCAGGACTGACCATTGAACTTGGCATCTATTTAGATCTCACTTCTTTTGTCGTTGAAGTCAACAATCAAAGCATATATTATATAATTGAACTTGGCTATCATTTTACATATATGTTTTGTTGGGATCTTTATTACTCAATGGTTTAATTTTTACATTATTTGCTTTAATCCAAATCCGTGTATAAATACCTTCAAATTTTTCAATATTATTTCTAAATGTTGTTATTTCAAATTTATTCATTTTTTCAATATTTTTTTTTTTTATTCAACCCAGAACCTTGTGATCTAATTTTTTCCATCTCTTTATTATGTCGAATTATTTTTTGTTCCAATTTTTTTTTGTGTTTTGCATCAGTTACTGCAGTATAAACTGCACTTGCAGCTTCAAACACAGCAATAGCTATTGATATTTTTTTTTTTTATCAAGATAAAATTTGCAATGAAATAAAATCATTTAGTACATTGGTTAGTACTATTTCTTCTATATTATTGCCTGTTAATTGGAATAGTATTTATGATGATTGTGGGGTAAGTTTTTTTATAGCTGAAAATATTAATGGAGAACAGATTAAAGCTATTATTACTAAACAGTTAATATTCACAGTAGATGGAAGTATTAATTGCTATGTTATGAATAATAAATTTGATTTGGAGCATTTGGGAATTAGTAAGATGTGTTATCCTTTTTCTTTAAATCGGCTTAATGATGCAATTCAAGTTTTAAATGACCAACATATTTGTACTGCTGGACCTTCTCCAATTAATTTTCCCGGTAATTATTGTTGAACATTTTGCTTAATTAAGTTACATACTTACTTAATTATTTATTTCTCAAATATAAGTATACTTATTTAATAGCTTGTATCAAATTAATTTTTATAATTTTTTTTTAAAATGATTTAGGAATAACTATCAAACAATGTGTGTTAGACATAACCAATAAGTGGCGCCATATAAAATGTCCCATACTTGTGTCATCTAAAGTATGCAATTTTTGTAATCGTTTATATAACAGTTTTAGAATTTATAAAAATAGGTATTCACTTGGTCAGAAAAAAACATATTGCTTCTTGCCTAACACCCAATCTCAAAAACCGCTTCTCTAAAATCAAAAAAACCCAACACACCATGAAAAAATCAATTATCAGGTTATAGCAAAACAAATAAATTAATAGGTACCTAATACCTATTTGAATTTTTGTATTTATTTTTTTTTTTGAAGTTATACTTCTTTATGCAGTGTAGTGAGGAAAAAAAAAGCGAACGGGCGGCGTGTACGAACGGGCGGCCGTACGAACGCGAAAGCGTACATGTCCGTAAATAAATAAATATTGTCATGGTAGTGTTGTTATATTATATATTATAATTTATATATTATATTATATATTATTGCAACTGAATAATGATCCAACAATATCGACTACTAAATCAAGCACAACAATCGATGCAATTTTTACGCGATATATGGATAATGTTCAGTCACAAATGTACGTTTCGTATTTCAGTCATCATATGCCAATCATAACTACTATACCGATTGAGCAAAATGATAATCAATCATTAGCATAAAAAATAATAATTAAAAAAAAAAATATAAAAAATATAATTTACATTGTTTCTTTTATTTCTTTATTATCCTCATTACCCAGTCTATCCATGCCTTTCTTTCTTTTTCACTCACTCACGTGTACCATTCAAAAGAAGTTTAACTTCCCGCGCGCGTACTGATAACACACACACTTTTTTTAATTTTAGAATGAAATCAAAAATTAATAATTTGCAACAAAAACTATCAAATCTTCAGGATTCAATGAAAAACTAATCTGCAACTACAGTTTAAAATATGTTAGATAATTCTACTTTAAATGAATCTCAGAAAACTGTTATTAATGAAATTATTAATGCTAGTAAAGTTAAACCAAAAGGTCGAAGGTATTCTGACAACTGGATTTGCTTTGTATTATTTTGAATATTAGGTAAGTAACTTATTATTAGTAATGAATGAATAATTAGATATGCGTGTAAATATATTTTATATTTTTAGGTCATCTAGAGAGTATAAATGTTTAAGGAAACAAGATATATTACCACTCCCAGCTCCAAAAACTATTCGACGCTGTCTGTCATTAATTTAAACAAAATGTGGCTTTGATGAAAAATTTTTCAGTTTATTAAAGAAAAAGTTTGAATTACTCAATACACAGTAACGACATGGAGTATTAGTATTTGACGAAATTTTTTTAAGAGAAAGCATATTAGTTAATACTAAGAATCTATCGTATACTGGTCTTGAAGATTTTGGAGATGGGAAACAATGCAATGAAAAGGCTGACCACGGCTTAGTTTTTATGTTTAGGAGTTTAGCTTCCAACTATTCACAAATTATTGCTGTGTTTGCTGCAAAAGGAAGTGTGAAAGGTAAAATAACAATTATTTTATTTCAGACCTTATGTGTAAATACTATAAGTTAAGTTCTGTCTGTTATTTGTTGAGTTATAATTTTATTCCTTTGATTATTTAATAGGCATTGTACTAGTTCAACTTATTTTAAAAGCTATATCAATGTTAGAAAACATAGGAGCTAAAGTTGATGGGATTGTTTCTGATGGAGCTGCGAAAAATCGCAAAGTGTGGAAAGAATTAGGTGTTAGTGGTTTGAAAAATAATGTTGTAAATAGTTTTACCCACCCAATGGATACAAAAAGAAAAAATTATTTATTTTCTGATGCACCTAACCTCATAAAAACTGTTCGAAATAGATTATTTAATGTTAAATTTTTAAAAGTAATTATTTAATTTTTTAATGTTTATTGATATTTTTGTTACAAATTTTATTAGAAATTTTTTGTCTTTGTATAGACTTCACCTGAAAAAAAATGTATAAATTGGTGGCATTATGTTGAAGTTTTCAACAATGACGCAAATAATATTATCCGGGTATGTCCCAAAATCACTAATAGACATTTACATTTGGATACAATGGCTAAAATGAATGTTAAACTGGCTACACAAGTATAATTTTGTTTTATTTTAAATCAGATACTTAAATAGTAGGTGTCTACATAAGTAGGTACCTACCTATGATAATTTACCAATTCAACATCAACAAAATCAACCCACCTTTTTAAATTTAAATTTGAAACCCAATAGTTGAATTATAAACAAATATAATATCTCTATAAACTAATAATTTATTATTTAAAATGTTTGTATACATTTTAGGTTTTAAGTCAGTCGATGGCTGATGGAATCCAATTTTATAGGCAAAATGGATGCATTTCACTTGGTGAGAGTGAAGAAACTCAAGATTTCACTAGCCGCTTTAATAAATGATTTGATGCCTTAAATAGGAAATAAGCACCTGAAGGAATCAGAAAAGACAGTTTAGATTTTAAAGTAATTACATTCACACTGATTCATTTCACTTTTAGTCATAATTTGAACAACATAAATTATATTTATTTAATCTTTGCATATAATTTTGTTGACTTAAAATATAATGTTAGACACTCTAGAATACATTGATAATTGGGAACAGAATTTAATTGATGGTAAAAGAGGATTTTCTAACACCCAACACTGCCGAGGGTTTAAGAGTAACATTACGGTCGTCGGTCGACTATTGATTTGTGTAACTATTTACTTAATGATTGTGGTTTTCATTATGTGCTCACTAGTAAAATGAACCAAGATGCTTTAGAGGTAAATAACATTTGGTATATGTCTCTGTCTTTTAATACTTGTAGTGATGATATAATATACATTTTAATTTAAATCACAGTTATTCTTTGGGACTGTTCGTCAGTCAACTGGTCCTAATGACCACCCTGCAACGCCAACTTTCCTTCAAAATTACAAACTGTTATCAATATATTCAGTTATAAAACCACCAAAGACAGGTAATTGCCAAGTACTGAATTCAGAGGTTCCGAAAATATCAATTGATGACATTAAAAATATCTATGATACTGATGGTAATATAAGTATTTATGATGATTATCATTAACATTTTTCTAATTTGTCTTAATTCTTTAGATGTAAGTGAAAGAGTTAAGAATATTGAAGCACTAAAATTAAAGTTAAGTAATTGCATGGACAATGAAGATTGGGAAGCTGATTCTATTTTTGAAGACCATAATTATTTTAAATCGCCAACAGTTGATTGTGTAGTATTTAATAAGGCAACTTTCTAAACGTTATGTTTGTGAAAGATGTTTAGCATTTCTTAAAAATACATCTTCTACATCTTCTAATAAATCAGTAGCTTCACTTACCAACATTAAATCTAGAGGTTATTTAATACACCGTAATTTTAACTTTTTCAATATAATTAAAACAATAGAAAATTCTTTTGAAAGATTTTGTGAAGATGTAGATGTATTTAATTTAACAGTGAATGATGTTTTAAAAACTTCCATTTCTTTTCCTTGTACTGAACATAAAATTGAAGTTATGTCAGATATTTTAACATACTACATTACTATGCGTATGCGTCAGTACTGTTATTTTAAAAATATGGAACCTGCTAAAAGAAGCTGTAAAAAAAAAAACTTTCTTAACTAGTAAACACTTAATTATGGACTAATTAAACGACCTTTACTAATAATAAAAAAATATTATAAACGATCATGTATTTTTTTTTAAACTTAATAAAAGTTGTGTATAAATAGTTGTGCTAGCACCAATCTTTATATTCGTTTTACTGTTAGTATGAATTGACCGCTAGATGGCGCTAGAACCGATATAAGGCACTTGGTGGCAGTTCGTGACCGCCACTATCTCATAAGTGCTCAGTCCGGGTTAACGACTAACGACCCGCGTCCGGCGAATTATGATTCCCCTCGCTCGCTACTATACTTCCCTGCCCAAAAACTTCCAAAGTATTAATTTCCCCTGAAATTTTAAAGCGGCAAACTACTCAGCGAATCGTGCACTATAGAATTATAGTGTTAAATTCCAACATATCAAAAAGTAAACGACCCTTGTATTCCGGGGGTATATAGAAAAAGAGCAGTACCGTATTGTAATATATTAGTATACGCTACCGGTCTGTTTCTACATACCCCCGGAATACAAGGGTCGTTAGTTTGTGATATACGGCCGTCTTAAAGACTTAGGATTATTTCCAATGCAATGATCTGAGAGCTTAGGTCCCCCCCCCCCAATGCAACCATACCATTTGCAGAGCTCTAAGTCCAAAACGCCGGGTGAGGCTGTATGGTGTGCCGAGTGAGTCTGTATATACTTAACCGGGCGAGTCTGTGTGGTGTGCCGGGTGAGTCTGTATGATGTGCCGAGTGAGTCTGTATACTTAACCGAGTGAGTTGATGCAAACAAAAAAAATTGAAATCAATGTTAAAGGAAATGTTAACAATAATAAAATGGATAACAAAACTTGTGATAAATGTAACTTAACAGTTAGTTACAAAAATTGGTCTAGACATTTGATATCTATTCGTCATCAAAACAATGATCCAGATCAAACAATTATGTCTCGATTTAGAAAAACATACAGGGGTACAACAACAACAAATATAAGAACAAGACAAGAAAGAATACCAAAAACAGATAAAACTTGTGATATTTGTAATTTAACAGTTAAATAAAACAGTTGGCCTAAACATATGCAATCTATTCGACATCAAAACAATGGTATACGACCAAGAATATCAAGAGAGATAATACCCAAACCACATAGTTTTCAATTTAAATGCAAAAATGTTTGAAATAAACGACACTATTCGACCTATTTTAAAAACTGAAGAAACAGCATTCCAAAGTAGATTAAAAACTTATATTATTAAACATAATATAGGTATTAAAGATATACAAACATTTTTAAATCGTTTAGATAATCCAGTAATAGGACGACTTAAACAAGAATTAAAAAAAAACAAATTTAAAAGTAAATATTTGGTTTTTTGCTATATATAAGAGAGGTCATGATGAAGAAAATATGGAATATGAGGAAAAAAATTTGAAATCACTAAATAAAATTTTAACAAAAAATTCTAACTTAAATGATTTTTATACAAATACAAAAATTAAAATTGTTAATGAAGAAGAAGATTTTATAATGAGAAATTCACAATGGAGACTTCATCAAATTTTAAGTTTGGGAATAAATATAAATAAATATGTTCCTTTTAAGGGTCTTCATATATTCCATTACCCGAATATATTCAAAATAAACATGCTATTATAAATGTTAAAAATAAAGATGATAAATGTTTTCTTTGGGCAATACTCTCTGCTTTACATCCTGTTGGAGTTCATGGAGAAAGAGTAACTAAATATATTCCTTTTAAAAATGAATTTGATAAAGAATTTAAAAATATTGAATTTCCAGTAAAAACCACAGACGTTCCGAAATTTGTTAAAAGAACAAAAGATATTTCTATTAATATTTATTGTTTAGATAAAAATGTAATTGTACCTTTAGAAATAACTAAAATCGAAAAAACTTATCATATAGATTTATTATATTTAACAGTGGATGATAAGGATACTGATGATGAGGATAATAATATGAATAAAGGACATTATTGTTGGATTAAAGATTTATGGAAACTAGTAGGTCAACTTACAAGAGATGGTCATAAAAGATTTTTGTATAAAATGTGTTTAAATAGTTTTGATACAAAAAATAAGTTAAATGACCATAAACATTATTGTGCTAATAATAAAGCTGCTAAAATAGTTCTACCAGAACCCTATAATAAAACTTTAGAATTTAAAAATTATAATCATTCCTTAAGAGTCCCTTTTATAATTTTGGCTGACTTTGAAACTACACTTCAACCAATATATGCTTGTCAACCAAATGATACAGATTATTTTACAAAATATTATCAGAAACATATACCTAATAATTTTTGTTATTATATTAAATATAGTAATGGTGATTATAAACCTCCTGTTGAATATTCCGGTCCAAACGTAGCTCAAGTATTTTATGAATATATGAGAGATGAAGAAATACTTATTTCTGAATTATATGATAAAATAGTTCCTATGGAAACATTGAATGCAGAACAATTAAATAATCATTATATTAAAACTGATAAATGTCATATTTGTGAAAGATATTTATCAGATGTACCTCCATTCTCCAATGTTAGAGAAAAAATTTAAAATAATTAAAGACGCTATTGAATATTATGAACAATTTAAAATTAAACCAAAGAATGGTGTTGAATATTATGAATATATTGAAAATTGTAAAAAAATTAATTGTTATGAAGATAAGCTTGAAAAAGAATTAGAAAATAAAAATAAAAATATGCGAAAAGTTCGGGATCATGGCCATTTAACTGGAGAATATAGAGGAGCAGCACATTCTATATGTAAACTTAATTACCAAAATCCTCTTTTTATTCCAATTGTTTTTCATAATCTTTCAGGTTATGATGCCCATCTATTTATAAAAGAATTTGGGAATGATACTGAAAAAATAAAATTAATCCCAAATAATGAGGAAAAATATATTTCTTTTTCAAAAATGATGCCACGTAAGTAACTAGGAAAGGTGAAGACATAGTAATATACTAATATATACAGAATTAAGATTTATTTATTCATTAAAATTTTTATCTAGTTCTTTAGAGAAGTTCACAAATAATTTAAGAAATGATTCGAAATTAAATTTAAGAAATACATTTAAAGAACTTATTAAATAATATGTTCCTAAAGAACATTTAGATTTAGTTACTAGAAAGTTAGCTTATCCCTATGAGTATATGGATTGTGAAGAAAAATTTAATGAAACATGTTTACCTCCTATTGAAAAATTGTATAGTTCTCTCACTGATAAAAATATAACTATAGAGGAATATAAAAACTCACAAAAAATTTGGAAAGTGTTTAATATAAAAAGTATGCGTGAATTCACTAGTTTATACAATACGATTGATGTTTTATTGTTAGCAGATATAATAGAAAATTTTAGAGACATTTCTTTAAAAAATTATAAATTAGATCCTATGTGATATTACACAACACTAGGATTTGCATGGGATAGTATGTTAAGAATGACAAAAGTAAAATTAGATTTATTAACAGCTATATAAGAAAAAGAGGAATCAATATTTTTAGAATACTTGGAAGCAAATAATCTTTATGGGTGGGCAATGAGTAAATATTTACCTACTGGAGATTTCAAATGGATTGATAATCTGAAAGATTTTGATGTAATGAATATTTCTGATAAATCATATAAAGGTTATATTTTAGAAGTCGATTTATCTTACCCTAAAGAACTTCATGATCTACATTCAGATTTCCCTTTAGCACCAGAAAGACATTTTGATAAGGATCAAAAATTATTTTTAAAAAAACAATTCTATTAAAATATATTTTGATTATTATTGCTTTTCGATTTTAATTATTAATAATTAAGTTTTGCGGAAAATAATTTTATTATTTTTGCATTTAATAAGTTTTGTGAAAAATATTTTAATTATTATTGCATTTCATAAGTTTTGCGAAAAATATTTTAATTATTATTGCATTTCGATTTTCTGATCTTTTTGCACATTGTTTTCTTTGTGATCTTTTATTGATATAAAATGGAGCTGTCCCAGGAATGGTACATATATACTACTACTGTACTTCATTTGTTTGTGTACATTCGTCACACGCTGTCTCACAAGTCTTAAAAACCGGCCGCATTTAAACCTACGGTCGCCTTCTAGTATGTCTTGTTTGACTGTTTTAAACCAAGATTCAACGGTAGCATTACTCTGGCGGATTTCAATGCAATTGCTGACTTTATTATTCATAATAGGTGTCCACAGACCACAGTACTAAGAAAGGTACACACTTAACTATAAACTCGTGTAAATATGATTCATCATAATATTCATTAATGCTTATATTTTCAATATTTTCAACACTTCGTTGTTCGATTCATTTGGCAATTGGTATTTATCATTACACTTGGCTCTCATGGCACTAATGGCATTTTTCGTGTGTACTGTAGCATTAGGTGACAACAGTATTACTGAAAATATTTTGAACCATTGTTCAACATCTGTCAAACTGGTTATGTTAAAAAGTAATGTGTAGACATAGTTTACCATGATTTTTGTGTAATGATTTGCACATATATTTATGATGGTGACATTAGATTCGTCGTGGTTTTCAACCAATACTCTGTAACACCAGTTAAGGTAGTCGAATATGGAAGTAAAAC